CTTTACTGTTTGTTGTTTGGTTCTGAAACCTTTTTTTCGGTTGGCTCATTAAACATTTAAAAACAAAGTTTTTACTACCTAAACACGAGTTTATCTAAATGGTCTTTAAGCAGAGCATTCAGATTTTATAGTTTTTCTTGTCCAAATCAGTCATGTTCGATTAGAGAGAAAAGCCTATAATGTTGTATCTCCTGTCTCCTGAGTCCTGAGTCCTGATACGAAGAAAGACTTAGCAGTTAGCACAACCCAGACTGTCTAATGAATTTGCCAATTTGGTTTATTCGGTGTGGTTTAGTTCGGTTACCCAATAAAGTTTTGGTATAGGCTCTAATTGTGGTTTTGGAATATAACAAAACCAAACGGCTGATGAATATTCGGTTAATTTTGGGTCGTTTCGGTTTTCCAATTGCGGTATTTTGTGTCGACCCCAAATTTTTTTTTTCCGTCAAAGAAATAAAATTAAATTGAACTTAAAAAAAAAAGATGTCTTGTTGGATAATCCAAGGTTCTGTTCTATATAGTAGGGTTTATTTGCTAATGATCTTGGTCTCTGTGATCTATCTTTGAATCTCAAAAGCATACTAGAGAGAGAGATCTGTTTCGATAATTTGCTGCAATCACCTTGTTAATGGCGGCCGTAGGAGTGGAGGCGAGGCCTCCTGTGACAGCGATGGAGGAAACCTGCAACGTTAAGGGTGCGGCGGCGAAACAAGGAGAAGGGCTCAAGCAGTATTATCTCCAGCATATCCATGAGCTCCAGCGTCTGCTCCGCCAAAAGACGAACAACCTTAATCGCCTTGAAGCTCAGAGGAATGAACTCAATTCTAGAGGTGTCTTTTTCCTTCCTTAACTCTAATTTCTCTGCAAAATCGGATCTTTTGGTCATCTGCTTGGTTTAGTAATTTCGGACTCCATGTTAGGGCTTTTGATTTCGTTCTCCTTGGAGCTGGGTGCTGTAAATTTCTAAATTGTTGTGGTGATTGCTAGGATTGAGAGTTTCCGATCTGGAAGTGGTTGGGTGGCGATAGGATCTTTTCCAGTATTGGATCTAAACCACGCTTCCATTATGTTGAGCCTTGATTTTTAGCATCACTTAGTTACCTTATTCAGATTTGTCGACTCTGTTTGTGTTGAGTATGTATCAGCTTCTTCAATAGTTGATACTTTAGCAAAGTATGTAGCGAATGTGGTGAGGATGAGACAGAATTGATAGAATCGTGGTATACTGCAGAGCTATGAATTTCTTGTTTGGAACATGTTTAGGAATATATTTGAGTGCCATATTTTGACTTCTTATCAACTGCAAAAGAAAAAGTTAATCATGTGGAAAATTCGTGGCTGTTAGTATTGCTACATTGGTAGTTCGACTATGACCTTTTCTTGAAATCCTAGTTCTTTCTTAACTGTCTTAATTGAGTAAATATACACTAACGGAAGGAGTCATTTACTCTAATCCATGATTTTACTTTTTAGTAACACATTTAATATAGAACTGCCTTAGTGTCCATATTCTTGTCATCACGATCATGATCACATTTATACTTTAACCCCTTCTTATCAGTCTTTATAGTATGTAGTTAATTCTAAATTTTAACCCTCGTTGTCATTCTAAACTGAACAGTACGAATGCTCAGAGAAGAGTTGCAACTACTTCAAGAACCTGGGTCCTATGTGGGCGAAGTGGTAAAAGTGATGGGAAAAAACAAGGTCTTGGTTAAGGTATGAATCTTTATATCGTATTATATAGGCTTAAATTGGTTTTGAATTGTTTGCAATCGTAATTTATACTCCCATGTTTCAGGTTCATCCAGAGGGGAAGTATGTTGTCGATATTGACAAAAGTATAGACATAACGAAACTCACTCCATCAACGAGAGTTGCTCTCCGTAATGATAGCTATGTTCTCCACCTGGTTCTGCCAAGTAAGGTTGATCCCTTGGTTAACCTTATGAAAGTTGAGAAGGTTCCAGACTCCACATATGACATGATTGGTGGTCTTGACCAGCAAATCAAGGAAATAAAGGAGGTATGCCTAGTGAAAGAAAAAACAAAACTAAATGACACTGATTTATCCCCTCTGTTGTTTCATGCTTTTAAATTTTATAGTAATATCTATATCTTTATTTGTTTATCAGGTCATTGAGCTGCCAATCAAGCATCCTGAATTGTTTGAGTCTCTTGGAATTGCGCAGCCAAAGGTACCCTTAAATTTCAAAGCTTCTTCTCTATATTGTGACGATGCTAAGTGGATTAGAAATAATTGCATCTCCCTCTCTTGCTAGGGTGTGTTGTTATACGGTCCACCTGGAACTGGGAAGACCCTACTGGCTCGGGCTGTGGCACATCACACGGACTGTACTTTCATCAGAGTTTCTGGATCCGAGCTGGTACAGAAATACATTGGAGAAGGTTCTAGAATGGTCAGAGAACTTTTTGTGATGGCAAGGTTTGTATATGCTAATCCCTTATTTGATATTTCAAGCATGGTAATATTTGTTGGTTGGAAAAGATGGAACTGTTTAACAAGATAGATTTTTTACATGTCCGTGCTTAGTAGCTGAAGTGGACATGTGAAATTAAATAAACTGAGTAAAGTGTTCTCTGTTTCTACTATGAATATGGTTTCAACATGTAGATGATCTCAAGGATGATTATCTTTACAAGTATTCTCTGTCAGGATGCCTAGCATTTAGGCCACAGTACAAATATTTGTAATGAGCAAAGTACACATAGATGAAATGATTGTGTTGAAAAATATTTTTTCCAGCTGGCTTACCTTTTTAGTACCGCTGGCTTATGGTTTTCAGGGAGCATGCACCATCAATCATCTTCATGGATGAAATCGATAGTATCGGGTCTGCTCGTATGGAATCTGGAAGTGGAAATGGCGACAGTGAGGTTCAAAGGACTATGCTTGAGCTTCTCAATCAACTTGACGGATTCGAAGCGTCAAACAAAATCAAGGTACGCATTAAGTTGTGAAGGAAAAAATAATCATGAAGCTGAAAAGGATGGTCTGTGGTATTGTAGTCTGAATTTTGCAGACAAACTTGTTAATTCTCTTGATTGACTGTTACAGGTTCTGATGGCGACAAATCGTATTGATATTCTGGATCAAGCTCTTCTTAGGCCTGGAAGGATTGATAGGAAAATTGAATTCCCTAATCCTAATGAAGAGGTAATGCTTGTGTTTCTTAGGAAATGAGGTAGCAACTTTGCTTTGTTGTTTTTGGTGAAACGAATGCGAATTTCTTCTAAGGTGGCACCTTATTTAGTAGTTTAACTTTCATTTGCTGCATAAAATACTTTTTTTAGCTCCATACTCATTATTGTAACCAAAGTGAGGCAGGACAGTTTGACTTATGTATGTTTCCAAAATGTGTTGCAGTCACGTTTTGATATCTTGAAGATTCACTCGAGGAAAATGAATTTGATGCGTGGAATCGATCTGAAAAAGATTGCAGAGAAGATGAATGGTGCTTCAGGTGCTGAGCTGAAGGTAAAGTGTTACTATTCCTCTGCTTCTCTCTTGCTCTCTCCACAATTTGTCTCTCTCATATGATTTTGGTTATTACGGTCAGGCTGTGTGCACGGAGGCGGGCATGTTTGCGCTGCGGGAGAGGAGAGTGCACGTGACACAGGAAGACTTTGAGATGGCGGTGGCCAAGGTAATGAAGAAAGACACAGAGAAGAACATGTCTCTGCGTAAGCTCTGGAAGTAGGAATCTCATTGTATGTACTCAACTCTAAAGAAGAGCAAAGGATTGAATTCATTTAGGTTTCCTTTACTGTCTGTGGTTCTTTCTGAAACCTTTTCGGTTGGCGCTTTAAGCTCTTCGAAACAAAGTTTGTACACTAGTTTATATTCAAATGGTGGTTCAGCATAACAGCTTCCATTTAACCAAGCTTACATTTACCTTTTAGAATTTATTCTTCTCCAAGATTGTTTGACAAAATAATCGTCATCGCTTTGTACCTGAGCTTCACCACCATCATTTCCGTCGACACCAGCTTCATTATCATTAACCGCACCGGCTAAATTTTAGATCTCTCGTTACAATTACCCCTTGTTAGAAAGCCTTTGAGTGAACAGAATTGACTGATGGCGAGCAAACTAAATATGTGTGTACTTCGATTTATAGACAGTGGTGGTAAGAAACTAACTAAAAGAAAATACCTATAGAAAAAAAAGTGCTTATTTTATGAGAGTGAACAAAAAAAAATACTGCTAAAAATAGCAGTTATAAGAAAATCATGAAATATGTAAGAAATTACAATATAGTACACTTCGTACATAGGTTGGTAATATGGTAAGTAATGACTGATTTGTAATGTATACTCCCTCCGTTTCGTTTTAGTTGTCGTTTAAGGTTTTTTCACACAAATTAAGAAAAACATTAAATTTTCTGTTTTAACCTTTATTAACATATTTTATAAAAAATTCATTGGCCGAAACATTAAAACAGTAGGGATAAAACTGGAATTTTCACAAAACATTTGCATCGAAAACCTAAAACGACAACTATTATGAAACAAATTTTAATTCTAAAACGACAAATAAAACGAAACGGAGGGAGTATTAATTTGTGAAATATTTTTTTGGTATCTTACAATTAATTCAAGAATTCAATTCCATAAATAATTTTAAAACTATCCGTTATGATTTATGAACAATAATTAATCATTATTGGTGACAAAATGAGGTACCGTACAAATATGATAAAGAAAATAATTTATTTATTTTGTCAAAACCAACCTGTATATAATGAATTTAAATTTCGAATTTGCTAATGGGAAATCTTACATTTTTGTTGAAAAAAGGAAAAATCAATGCCGATGAATGAGTACGCGTGGACCTAAAGCTAGAAAAAGATCCAACGGTGGAGAAAGCTGCGTTAAAATTGCAGAAGAACGAAAAAGAAAGAATCCAACGGTCAATAGTGTAGCGTCAACTCAAAGCCAAACCCTCCCAAATTTCGCTTTTAAAAACCCCAATCTCTCTCTCTCTCTCTCTCTCTCTCTCCACCTTCAATCTCCCTCTCGCCGTTTCGCTTCGCTTCTTAACACCTCCGCCTGAATTAGCTCTCCTCTCTCGTTCTCAATTCCGAAAACATGGTAATTGTTCTCTTCGCTTTTACCGATTTCTTCGTCTGTGTACCATCAGATTGCGTTTCTTGATCTAGGATTATCAACGTCTCAGATCTCACGATCGATGTTTCTATGCTCTTGTCTTCTAAACTCGGTGTGGATTATTTTTTTCAGGCTCTACCTAACCAGCAAACCGTAGATTATCCAAGCTTCAAGCTCGTCATTGTTGGTGATGGAGGCACAGGTACTCTTCGCCGTCATTATCCCTGAAACGCAATTGAACTTTTGATGAGATTCTTTTATAATCAGCACTGTTGTTTCCAGTGGCTCTATTGATGTTTTTTAAGTATGGTAATGTGTACGATTGCTTTTGCTTAACTAATGATTGCTTTTGGTGGTGTTACAGGGAAGACTACTTTTGTGAAGAGACATCTTACTGGGGAGTTTGAGAAGAAGTATGAACGTAAGTATTGCTTGTGGATGGATACACAATTTCTATTCTTCATGTGCCTTAACTGATTCTGATGGTCGAGTCCAAATCTTGTTTTGTTGCAGCTACTATTGGTGTGGAGGTTCATCCATTAGATTTCTTCACAAACTGTGGCAAGATCCGTTTTTACTGCTGGGACACTGCTGGACAAGAGAAATTTGGTGGCCTCAGGGATGGATACTAGTAAGTATACCTATATCCATTGATATGTTTGTGTGTATAGTCAATATAGAGTATGCATAGTTTGGATTAGCTCTCGCTAGGGTTTGAAATTGGCTACTGATTAACCTGGAAAAATGTGTATAGGACTGTTATTTTGATATTCCATCTGGCTAATCTTTGATTTTCTTTCAGCATTCATGGTCAATGTGCCATAATAATGTTTGACGTCACAGCAAGGCTCACATACAAGAACGTTCCGACATGGCACCGTGATCTCTGCAGGGTGTGTGAAAACATCCCGATTGTTCTGTGTGGGAACAAAGTTGATGTGAAGAACAGGCAAGTGAAGGCAAAGCAGGTGACATTCCACAGGAAGAAGAATCTGCAGTACTATGAGATATCGGCAAAGAGCAACTACAACTTTGAGAAGCCCTTCTTGTACCTTGCTAGAAAACTGGCTGGGGACCAAAACCTTCACTTTGTGGAGACACCAGCTCTTGCTCCACCAGAGGTTCACATTGACATTGCTGATCAGCAGAAGAACGAAGCCGAGCTCTTACAGGCGGCAGCCCAGCCACTCCCTGATGACGATGATGATGTCTTTGAGTAAATCTTCTAAATGTCTGCTGTGGGAAGCTCTAGCTTGTTCCTTTTGGTGTTTTCTCTATGTTTGTTTTGGTGTTACATATAAATCAATCGAGTCTTTCTTATAACAAAAATTAGGGAAATATTTTTGGATGGTTCTGTTGGTATCCAATGAAAATATTAAGAATCAAGTGGGAAGAATAGAGATGAACATGATGAAGAATAAAGAGAAAGATGATTGATTTTTGATGAGATAAAAGTTACAAATGATTTGCGGCTGCACACGGTTTATATAGGGAGCTCACTAGGTCTAGATGGGTATGCACATAACCTTAAAAGCATCCTCATTCAGCCTAGTGAGTCACCGTGCGCTTTTGCCACTTTCCAGCTCATGACAACGGTCATATACAACACGACAAGGCCGTACACGCGCTTAGCACCCATCCGGATAAGGTTGGTCTTCTTCGCGCGTCCGTACGGTCCAAGATGACCGTTGCCTTTCTTTCTCTTATTCAAACTAGTTACTTGCATAATATAAGAAACCCATTTCACTCTTAACTATTACTTAGTTAGAATAAAATGTCTTCTTGATCAATACTCCTCCTCAAGTTTATACTACAATATTCATTGTTATAAACTTGACACTTATGCGAGTGACCTCGTTAAAAAAAAACCTAAGATTGGAAAACCACGTGGGACAAAACCAATCTTAGGGAAAAAGAGTATCACTGACATAAGTAGGGAAGTTCTCTCAAGGGTGTGTGAGGTCTACAAGCCCAAGTTTGCCATGAATAAACTCGCAAAGTTGGGTACTTGCTGCCTTGGTAAAGATATCGGCCAATTGGTCCGAACTCTCAGTGTAACAAGGTAAGATAGTACCATCTTCGATCTTCTCTCTAGTCTTGTGGCAGTCTATCTCCACATGCTTGGTTCTCTCGTGAAACACCGGGTTGTTGGCGATGTGAATAGCCGCTTGGTTATCGCAATGAAATGTGATGGGCGTCTTTTGCTCTATCCCAAAGTCTTTAAGAAGCGCCTTTAACCATGTCAACTCATTTGTAAGCTTCTTCATAGCTCTATATTCCGCTTCAGCACTTGAACATGACACCACCTTTTGCTTCTTTGACTTCCAAGTCACTAAGTTTCCCCCAATGAAGGTGCAAAAGCCGGTTGTCGAGTGTCTATCATTACGATCTCCACCATAGTCCGCATCACAATACCCAACTATCTCCGTGCTTGAGTTCTTTCCCATCCAAATGCCTTGGCCGGGGCTCCCTTTGAGATACTTTAGAATCCTACCTACCATACTCCAATGGTACACCGTGGACTCTTTCATGTGTTGACTCACCTGATTCACTGCAAAAGAGATATCAGGCCGAGTGTAAGTCAAATAGAACAACTTACCCACAAGTCTTCTATATTGCTCCGGGCAATGATATGGTCTATCATCCTTCTCCCCCTTTCGATTGACCTTATATCCTGGCTCTAATGGTGTTGAAACCGGTTTGGCTCCAAGCTTTCCCGTAAGTTTTAGAAGATCGAGTGTGTATTTCCTTTGTGAGAGAAACAGACCCTCCGGTGATCTACATACTTCGATACCTAAAAAATATTTCAACACACCAAGATCTTTAATGTCAAAAGCATTGTGTAAAGAGGTTTTGATAGACTTAATACCTTCCTTGTTACTCCCCGAGATGATCAAGTCATCAACATAGATTAAGACAACTACAATGCCTTGATCATTTTGGAGAGTAAACAAGGTGTGATCGGATTCTGACTTCTTGAATCCATTAGCCTTTAACGTGGAGCTTAGCTTGTGGTACCAAGCTCTTGGAGATTGCTTTAGACCATATATAGCTTTGCGGAGTCTTAACACTTTTCCCGAGGCTACCAAGTTCTCTAAACCCGGAGGAGGAGTCATATAGACTTCTTCTTCTAGCTCTCCTTGTAGAAATGCGTTCTTAACATCCATTTGCCATAATTCCCAATCCAAGTTAACAGCCAAAGAGAGAACCACTTTCACCGTATGTTGCTTAGCTACCGGAGCAAATGTCTCTCGATAATCATCACCATATGTTTGTGTAAACCCTCTTGCCACTAATCTTGCCTTGTATCTTTCTATATCTCCATTACTCTTGTACTTAATAGTAAACACCCATTTCGAACTCACACACTTCTTGCCTTGTGGTAGCTCTTCTTCGTCCCATGTATGATTTCTTAACATAGCTTGTACCTCATAATCCACCGCATTGTCCCATTCCTTGATTCCCTTAGCTTCCTCATATCTTTGTGGGACAAACTCCACATCTAGCTTGCTAAGGAAAGCCTTATGTTCTTCGGGAAGAAGGTCAATCGAACATGTCGCTTGAATTGGATGAGCCACGGCTTGACAATTGTAGTACACTCTAGTATTCTTCCAATTAGATGGAGATTTCTTCTCTCTCATGCTCTTTCTTGGATTCTCTCTAGTGTAGATAGGATCTTGTGTTGCTTGTGGAGCTTGTGGAGCTTGATATGTCTCATCATCGCTTGAAGATTCAATGACCTCCCCTTCATTAGATGGATTCTCTTCTACCACTTCTTCACTAGACCTTTCTTCTCTACCAATCCCTTGTTGATTATCCGAAGCTTCTTGTGATATGTCATTACCCCTCTCTTGAGCTATGTCATTACCACTCTCTTGAGCTTCAATAGTACTATCATTTGGTATGGCTTCTCTTTCTTCTTGCCGAGAACATCCATTACTCAAATGTTCAAGAATATGCCTAAGACTTCTAGCTCTATCCGAAGTTGAATTTGGTAAGTCTTTCACACCTTCCCAACTCTTCTCTCCGAAATAAGCCTCATCTTCCATGAACTTTACATCCCTAGATACATAGTACCTATTCATGACCGGATCATAGCACTTATAGCCTCTTTGCGTTGTTGAGTATCCAATGAATACACACTTAGTGCTTTTGGGCTCTAGCTTGTTCCTCAAGTCACCTGGGATAAAAACAAAACACACACTTCCGAATATCTTTAAATGATCAATGCTAGGACTTTGGTTATTCAAAACTTGAAAAGGAGATTGATCATTAAGGATACGGGTTGGTATTCGGTTTATGAGATAACATGAAGTTAACACGACATCTCCCCAAAACTGCTTTGGCATGTGTTTCTCAAACAACATAGCTCTTGCCACCTCCATTAGATGTCTATTCTTCCTTTCGCCAACACCATTTTGTTGAGGGTTGTATGGACAGCTTGTTTGGTGTAGAATTCCACATTTTTCCAAGTGTGTTTTGAGCTTAGTGCTTGTGTATTCATTCTCCTCCATTGTCTGTTCTAAGGATCTTAATCTTGGCATCAAAGTGATTAGTCACATAATTTTGGAAGTTTATAAATGCATCATAAACTCTATCTTTAGATGGAAGCAAGGTTACCCAAGTATACTTTGATTTCTCATCTATAAATGTGACAAAATATTTATGATTATCTCTAGATGCACAAGGTGAGATCCAAACATCCGAATGCACAAGATCAAAGCATTTTTCATAAATAGTATTCGATTTAGGAAAGACTACTTTACAATGTTTTCCTAAGATGCATGCTTCACATTTAGCACAATCATAAGAAAAACCCGGTAAAAGCAAATTCAAAGCTCTAGAATGAGGGTGACCAAGTCTATTGTGCCATAAAACAACCGAAGTTTTAACATTGTTTGCAATCATAGAAGAAGCAACATTATTAGAGATAGAGTTAAGAGAAGTGTCTTCAAGCACGTAGAGATCATCTTTAGTGCCACCTTGTCCGAACACATTACCACTCTTAATATCCTGCAATTTCACATCATTAGGACTAAAAATAGCAAGGCAATTTAAATCTCTAGTAGTCTTCTTAACTGAGAGCAAATTCGAAGTAAACTTAGGCATATAAAAGGCACTAGACCGTTTACTAAATAGGTTTATACTACATATTCCTTCAATCGGCACATTATGACCATTCGCAACTTTAACACTCCCTAAAGCCGGTTTAATGTTCTCTAACAACTTAGGATTACTTATCATATGGTGAGAAGCTCATGAGTCTAATACTAATGACTTTGAATCATAAGAATTAGAAGTAAAGAGAGAGGTACCGCCGGGACTGAATTTAGATGCGATGGAGTGAATGAGAGCTTCGAGGTCCGCCTTGTTCATCACAATGGTTTCTTGACTTTGAGAAGATGATCCACATCCCTTATCTTGAATCGTGGCTTGCAACGCCTTCTCTTGTTGACCATACTGAACCATAGCCCTCTCTTTATTCTCTTGTCCACCGTCACTCGCATTAGCCACATTCGCCTTCGACTTAAGGTTCTTGAACTTCTCCGGCTTCAAATGGGGGTGTAGAATCCAGCAATCTTCTTTGGTATGACCCTTCTTGTTACAGTGATCACAAACCGATGCCTTCTTGTCCTTGTGTTTCACGAACCCCGCCTTGTTTGCCGTAGGTAGATTTTCGCCTTTAGTGCCGAATAGTCCTTGTGACCCAAACTCTTTTTGTATCTTTGCACACACTTGCTCCAAGGTAGGAATCTTGTCATCCCTCAGAATGTGTTGAATCACATCTTTGTAAGTAGGGTTAAGTGTCATCAACAACCCGAAGACACGGTCTTGCTCTCGGCGATCTGTAAGTGTTGTGGCTTCGGTGGTGAATGGCCTTAGCATCTCTAGTTCAGCAACTAGAGACCTATACTTCCCAAAATGAGCATTGAAATCGTTGTCTTCTTGACTTAGGCTTCCGAGAGTCTTCTTGAGCTCATATACCCTTGTCAAGTTTGACTCGTTACCGAATACATTAGCAAGTGTATCCCATAGTTCTTTAGATGTCTCGCAATAAGAGTACCCTTCCAAGAGTGAAGCCTCAAGAGAGAAATGGAGAGCACTCTGAACCGTCAAGTCTTCTTGCGTCCAAGTCTCTTTGACCAAGCTTTCTTCCAAAGCTTTCGCTTCTTCATAGGTAGACTCAATGTATTTTGTGAGCCTTCTCCCACCCAATACATTTGTCGTTGTTCTCTTCCATAAGAGATAGTTGTTTCCACTCAAAACAACCAGAAATTTCAGATCTTTGTAAGCCTTGCTCACGTCTTGAACCACAAGTGCCATCTTGTAAGAGTAAAGATTCGATTTTGAACCGTTCAAAACTCAAATCCGAGATAAAGCTTCAA